GGTGTGGGTGTGGGTGTGGGGTGGGGGTGTGGGTGTGGGTGTGGGTGTGGGGTGTGGGTGTGGGTGTGGGTGTGGGTGTGGGGTGTGGGTGTGGGTGTGGGTGTGGGTGCCATGTTCCGCATTCATCCACACTCACAGCCACTCCCACACACACCCACACCCACACCCCATGATACATATATTTTCATTTCTTTCACGAGAACCTATTGACTAGGAGTACGGCTTGATTATAATTTCCATATAATATCACTATCTAATCGATAAGAAGATATGAATGTGTTATTCGTCGAATAAAAAATCCAAATAGTAGGTCGTATCTTCAGCGCGACTATCACATTCGAATTGGAAAAGTTTATTCAGAGTTTCAAGAGTGCAGGGAGAGTTCCGATTAGAGATGTGAGAGATCGAGACCAAAGCTTAAAAGTTTTTTTATACCAGAACTAAAAATCACCAAGACCAAGAGCGAAATGGTCTCCTTTTTTTATTTCATCGGCTGTCGTCAGCATCCCAGGTGTATTAAAATCCAGAAGGAATTGTTTGAACACTTTTTTGAGATTTTTTCAATTGATTTTTTTTTTATGAACTATCTTTCACACGCAGACAAGCAATACTATATTAACAGAAAAATAAATTTAATTTTATAAAAAAAAAAGTAATTAAATATATTCTCTTTGCTTTTATCATCCATCACGGAAAACAATTATCTTTTCAGAGAAATGCAAGGACAAATTTTTCACCATTCCTATTTCTATTTAAATAACGAAATAGCAGTATAAGTTTGCTAATTAGATAACAAAAGAAAAGATAATTGGAACAATCTTTTAAATATCCATTCGAATAAATCTCAGAAAGTGAAAAAAATACGCCAAGAAAAAAAGACTGAAGATAAATATTAGTAATTAATCAAGACTAACATACCAAAATGAAATCATAAAAAATTCTTTAGATATCTTTTAGAATAATTTCTAGGTTAAATAAGTTGTTTTTTTTCTTGTCTTAGTTTTGATCATCGAAACTTAATTGAAACAGCTTCACCTCACCCTCACACCCTAACCAAATAAAATTTCCAGCTATCGGTGAAAAAAAATAATAGAACGACAAATTCTTTTGCTGGTTGTTAAGAAATGTATTTTCACTTGAAACTGCGCAGTTTTAATTCTAAAATGTCAACAAAAAATATGCCCATGTAAACAACATCAGAGAGCGCATATAAAAGGATCAAACAAATTCTCTCTACACAGTTACAAAAAAAACTGAATTCAAATTGTTCGTCTGCTGTCGAATTAACTTTCGAATACTTATATACAAATCATGGCAAGCAACATGAGTGAAATACTTTCATCAAATGCTATGCGACCAAGACGTCGCAAGGTACAGAATTACCTATTGATTTGGGTCGATGAAAACATCGACGTAAAAAACGAAGATTGCCAAAATACGCTCGCACACTTACGAAATGTGGTGAAGGAAGTGAATGTATGTGCAACATCTGAAGAATGCATTGAAGCTCTTATTGATGTAGATGGCGGAAAGGCTTTCGTCATCTCATCAGGAGCTTTAGGACAAAATGTAGTGCCAGTAATACATGATATGGCATGCGTCGATGCAATCTACGTCTTCTGTAGCAAGAAAGCGCGACATGAAGTTTGGACGAAAAAATGGTTCAAAATTCGAGGTGTTTTCACCACAATCAAGCCAATATGTGAATCGCTCAAGAAAGTTACACGGGAATGTGATCATAATTCCATCCCAATGAGTTTTATTTCAGTACAGAAGGGATCAGCATCAGATGAAAATAATTCGAAACAGTTGCCAGCCGTATACATGTACTCGGTTCTTTATAAAGAAATTGCGCTGGAAATTGATGATGATGATACCAAATCGATTAATAATCTTTTCAAATACTGTCGTGAACAAGGTATTGCCGAAAACGAATTAAAAGAATTTCAACGGGAATACCAGAACAACTCAGCAGTGTACATTTATACATGTGAATTATTCTTTTACACTATGCTCAATTGTGCACTATGGACTCTTGATACAAAAGCGATGACAAAAATGGCCTTCTTCGTTCGAAATCTTCATCGGCAATTGGAACAACTTCACAAAGACCAAATAAATGAATTTAAAAACACATTTATCGTTTATCGTGGTCAAGGTGCAACAGAAGAACGAATACAACAGCTCATTAATACAAAGGGTGGACTTCTTTCATTCAATAACTTCTTATCAACCAGCGAGAAGCAACAAGTGGCTATGGGATTTGTCGATCGGGCACTGGGAAAGAATAATTTAGCTGTATTATTTACCATGGTAATTGATCCCAGCAAAGTGTCCACTTCAAATACACCATATGCAACTATTGATGGTCTCAGTGCTATTCCATCGGAAAAAGAGATACTCTTCTCAATGCACACGGTATTTAATATTATTGATGTTAAACAAGCTACGGGAAATAATCGACTATGGGAAGTACAGCTAACTCTTACTGACGACAATGATCCGCAATTGGCTGAGCTTACAAAGAGTATGCGAGAGGATATCGACGGCACTGGATGGCCTCGAATGGCTAAATTAATGTACACGTTAGGTGACTTCGGCCAGGCCGAGGAATTCTATAAGGAATTATTCGAGATTTTATCCAGTGACAGTGATCGAGCATTTATTTATCACAAGCTTGGAAACTTGAAAGACCAACAAGGTGAATATCAAGAAGCAGTGAAATATTACGAGGGATCCCTCGAAATTAAACGAAAAACTCTTCCAGAAGATCATACACAATTGGCTGCTATTTATCAACAATTTGGTCTCACCTATGACCACATGGGTGACTACTCGAAAGCACTTGAATATTACAAAAAATCATTGAAAATCTTGGAAAAAACTCTGCCTCCAAATCATTCATCGTTGGCTACTTCCTACAACAACATCGGTCTGTTGTATAGCAACATGGATAACTACTCGAAAGCACTTCAATATTACGAAAAATCGCTGGAAATAAGAGAAAAAACTCTGCCTTCGAATCATCCCAATGTGGCTAATTCCTACAACAACATCGGTTTGCTTTATAGCAATATGGGTAACTGCTCGAAAGCTCTTCCATTTTTCGAAAAATCACTGAAAATAAGAGAAAAAACTCTGCCTCCGAATCATCCCGATTTGGCTACTTCCTACAATAACATCGGTATGGTATATAACAGCATGGGTGACTACTCGAAAGCACTTGAATATTTCGATAAATCACAGAAAATCTACGAAAAAACTCTGCCTCTGAATCATCCCAATTTGGCTTCTTCCTACAATAACATGGCTTATGTATACGTGAGCATGCGAGACTACTCAAAAGCTTTGTCACTCTTCGAGAAAGCACTTGTTATTTTGCAAAAAAGCCTCCCACCAGCACATCCTCACATCAAATCCGTAAAAAACAGTATTGACGATCTCAAAAAGATAATGTAACTGATCGCTAATGTAATTTTCTGTTTTTCGTTCGAATTCGCTCAACAAATTGTCATGTCACTGCACTTTTTCTCACTTTTTCGGCTTTTCATCTCCCGCTTACGCGCGACCAACCCCTCTTCCCCACGAATACCCAATTAGGTACTAAGACAGCGGACTATGCCGGACTGGTAGGGCGATTCACGTACATCTCATCGGGAAAGTCAATATTCATAGGCTATCTTTTATTGAATTGAATTGGAAAAATAAGCATTGATTCTCTCTTATACATTCGGGTCGTACTATTCACTCCTACAAAACTTGAGGGAGGGGTCCACAAGAAATTGAAGTTATCCCGTTTTATCCTTCTTGCCCTTTAGTTCTCCTTTAGCTACTTTCACTCCTTTTATTTCTTTCACTCCTTCAGCTACTTACCTTTGGTCGCTTCAGTCCCTTGAACCTTTTTAGTTCCTTTGGTCCTTTTGGTCCCTTAGGTCCTTTTGATCCTTTTAATCCCTTTAGTCCATTTAGTCCTTTTGGTCCTTTTGGTCAGGGTGTGGGTGTGGGTGTGTGGGTGTGTGGGTGTGTGGGTGTGTGGGTGTGGGTGTGGGTGTGGTTGGATGTGGGTCTGAATTTGGGTATGTTTCTTTCTAAATTGACACCCACAACTACACCCATACATCCACACCCACATCCACACCCACACCCACACCCACACCCACACCCACACCCACACACACCCACACCCACACCCACACCCAGACCCACACCCACACCCCCACACCCACACCCTCAAGATATGATTAATCAAATATGCTATTGTTTTTTCTCAGTGAAAAATTACTTGTCAGCAAAACTAACGATGAAGGATGCCTTTTTGAAAAAGTCTATATACATTCAACCACGCTGCTAGAACTAACAAAGTAAATTATATGTTTACTTTGACAATTTTACTTTGTGCTTCCCACCAAAAGATCGATAAGAAAAAATATTATTCGAAAAGTCTAGTCGAAAAAGAATTTTGTAAGACTTATATGCATTATTTTAGAGTTTGATGGTTTACTCTGTCAAGCTTTATCAAGGAGTGTGGGCATGGATGTGCAGATGCGAAACAAATTAAAATTTGTTCCACACCCTACGCACCTCACACCCACTCCCACATTCCACACCCACACCAGCCACACCAGCCATACCAGCCACACCCACACTCACACCACCCACTCCCACAACCACACCTTGCTGTGTGACACGTTCATTTTCAATCTAAACATCGCTCTAATTTCAGAAACAGTTTCAGCAAGAAACTCTTTAGTCAATCTAAATCACTATAGTAACGTAAGGATGTTGACACATAAAAATCTTACCTGAACACTTGACAGACGTCAAAGTGATTCAAACAGTTTAATAAATCTATTCTGATTCTTTGAGACGGCTTTAGTTTCCTGAATTATACTATTTTAGTGAAACAATGCTTTCTCTTTCGCTGAACCATCTTTCTATCTGGTATGAAACTACTTCTCGTCGTTCATCACCACATTAACATTGCTAATACCACTAGTACCACTATAATGCCACCGCCCTTTAACTTCCTATAACGACAATATCGCTGATATCTGAAATAGCTTGGCTGATTTTTTCGAAAAAAGCTTAGTTAGCTTGAATTTGCCACAAAATCGAATTTATCATTAACTCAACGTGTCGTGGTAACTCCTTGAAATTTCGTCAAAAAACTGAATTTTTATTATATTTTACTCATATAGTCACAGCTTCACTCTCGAGAGCGCCGGAATATTATTAATTCTTAGATAACAAGAAATGATTATAAAAGAATTCCCAGGATACGTTTTCGGTTCCAAGTTTATTTAATATAATAAAACCAGTACAACTGAAATAAAACATGTCACAATGTGGAAATCTTGACTAATAATAATATTGGTCATTAAAAAAATTAAAATATATAATTGTTCCTTTTCACTTTTTCCATTCTTTGCATCCAGCTACTGCTATGATAGCCAATGTACCTATAACTACTACTATAGGCGGAACGAACCATTTGGAAGAATTGTTTGTTTGCTGACCTATCCGTTCAATGAGATCGGAAATGGCTTTTAACTTGCGATGTCTTGGAATATCTGATCCGTCGAGAGCGTTTCGTATTTCTGTATATTCTCTTTCGAGCGGTATCAAAGCTTTTTTTTTCTCCTCGGGTGTTATATAACAATTGCCATATAAATCTTGTAGTTTGTTAGTAAGTTGCTCTATAGTTTCATCCAGTGTCCCGTTACGTGAGTGTATTCCGAATGAGATGTTACTAGCCATTAATATACAAAATAATCTAAAAACTAATCGATATATTGTAAACGAATACACGAGGAATAACTCAAGTCTTTTTTTGTGAGTTTTATAAGCACATCTAAGAAAATACCAACATGACAATGCATTTTATACCTTACTTGAACAGTGACGTACCAGTGGGCAAAAAAAAGCATCTTTACAGCATAAACATATTCATCACTTTTTTTTCCAACTTGGATTATTGCTTCGTTGATGTTAAACACACTTCTAGAAGTGTTAGTACTTACGCTTTTCCAATGACACACATAGCGGGAATGACACTCTCCAACCATTGTATGCTATATCAATGGCTAAAATATCTTCGCAATATCATTAAGCGCTGACTATATAGTTATGAGAGGTTGTTTCTGTATTCTTAGTTTCAACGCTCGCTCTCATACGACTCTAAACTCGAATGAATACATCAGTCAGATAAAAGCATGAATGCGAAAAAAGTAGTTATCAGATAGTTGAGGGAAATATGTAAAGACATGTGCGTTTTATTGCTGTAACATACCTCCTCAGTGACACGAATGTGCGTCCATACACATTATAAAAAGACAAAAAAGACGAAAGGAAAAAGAGCAGCAGAGAAAGACGAAAGAAAATAAGGAAATAACGTGTAAGATTCGTCAAAACTTCAGACTATTGAAGACGGTGCAAGTGAGAGAGAACCAGTTGTGAACGACGAAGAAGCCAAAACATGAGAGGGTGAGGACAGGTGGCAAGACGAAACAGAATTGAAGAAGTACTCGAGTACATAAAGATGCTGGAGATTAGTTACAAGAATCCTGATGTTCGAATGCAGTGGTAATTAATCGGATGCTCTTAATGTATTGGGGGACGACGTTCGAGGCAGAAGTGAAAGCACTCGTATGCGGCGATATGGATAATAAATAACGGTACCTAATACGATTATAAAAAATATAAAGGAAGCAGTGACGCCAAAAGTGAATTACGAAACCAGCTGTTATCCATTCGATGGTCTTTGTGAGACTTTGAAAGGATATCGATACAGTCAAAAATATGAAGTATAGAACTGCTTTAAATATCATTAATTCTTGTAATTGAAACTTTACAAGTAACAAAAAAGAAAAATTGCGAGCTTTCGACCTTCTACTGAGGTCATCAACAGGCAAATGATTCGTTGTTTGACCTGGATTTGTCTATTTTGTTGTTTTTGATTGTTCTTTGCTGTCTATTTTAACATAAGCGTTTATGTTAAAATAGTTCGTTAGAACTTGTAGCTGTCCCCAAAGCCATGTACAGTAAATTGTACATAGATTCTTTATTATTTAAGTAGGATTGATTACAATACTTTAATAATATGTTTGGTATCATTAAATGCTTTGTCAGATAATTCTTGTGTAAAAATAGATTCTTAAATTATTCTTCTTTTCCAATCTGATTCATAACTCAATGCTTTTACATCATTAACTCTTTGATTACGGAGTTTTTTCTATTGCTGATTTCTTTAGTTTTTGCTCCGCAATAATATGTGATAAACTTTATTAGTATAAAGAAGCATTTAAAAGTGCATTAAAGTATGATAATCTTCAAAACAACCTATCATAATGTTGTCAAGATAAGAGAAAAAAAGAGGGGCCCTTTTGGTAAAGTCTAAATGATATCACATTGATGATAATATCTGCAAAATTTAAAAGCACATACATGGGTGAGTGTGGGTGTGGGTGTAGGTGAGTGCGGTTGTGGCTGGGGATGAGGAAATGAACTACACCCACACCCACACCCACACACTCCAAGAACCTGAAGATTGCAAAGTAGCGAAGATGGTAGAATATAAAAATATTTACAATGAAAATTACTTACGAGACCAATGATCACTAAGTAAGTGCCTAGTCCAACTGTACCGAGAACCACTGACCAAATGGGTACTCGAGGTTCTGTTGAGCAATCATGTATGTACGCTCCGCCAATGATTAAACCGATAAGGAAAGTTGGTGTTGCATATAGACAATTTATTAGTAAGAACCAGGCAAAACTAATGTTCAATATTTCTTGCATTCGTGACTTTTTACGATATAAACTTTTAGACCGATGGTCGTTCAATACAGAAACTAGAACAGAAGTAAAATATCAAAATACGCTTCACAAAAATGCAATGAATGCGCTAGAATTTCTTCGAATATGGGTATCTCGAAGGACATCATCGATTAAATCTTGTGTGTGCTTTAGTATTGCAATATTTGTTTATGAAAGAATTTGGAAGTTTAAACAGCTAATGGCAAACAATTGATATGGAATAATGAAGCAGAAATTAGTTTGTTTCTTCAAGATGCTTCAAAATGATTGAATCAGTATGTCAAAATTTACTAAATTTATCTGAAATGAATCATTTCGAACTTTCCAATATTGTATATATTCAAAATCAGATCAGTTATTCACATGATGCTAACAGTACATCGACAGTTAATTGCACGACAGATAAACAGTGACTGTGATACTTTAGCCCTGATATGGGTGGGGTGTGGGTGTGGGTGTAGTACTTCAATGTCATACTTACACGTACACTCTCTCCACATCCAAAAAAGTTTCTAGAAACCCGAGAATCCGTTGTGGATTGCTACGAATGATCAAAGTAGGCATATCTCAGCATCTTCAATTGCTAGCTAATGTTTGGAAGCCAATCTCCAAGCTCTTTTCTGTACCTGGGAACTCGGAACCCA